GTCGGAAAGCACGGGAGATCACTTCGCCCACTGCCTCATCGCCTTTGATAATGTCCACCGCAGTTGTGGACGAAACGTCCGGAAGAAATTCCCATAGACCACGGCTCCAAAGCCGGGAAAACATTCCTAAATGTGAACCTCCATCTACCTTGGAAAATCGGTTCAAAATCCTGCCGGCGCTGTTGGTATTGAAGAAGCTCATCGCCGCCCTCGTAATGTTCTGGAACATGTTGTTGTGCAAGTTGGTGGAGGCGCGCATGCAAACGCTGAAGAACACGAAGACGCGAACCATCGTAAAAATGATCAGCAGCACCATCAACGTGCTGTAGATGTACATGCAGGTTTCCCGGGAAAAGTGCCAAATGTCCAGGTGGGGGCTTGAGCTGTGCAGGCTTGAATTTCCTGCTGGTGTTGCGCCAACAGTGTTGTTAGATGAGCGGTGATCTTTCAGGAAGTGCTGCTGCTCAATGTATACCCTGGAAGAATTGGGCGTGCAGCTGAAAGGGCCTGGATGGGTTGAAAAGGCGCTAACCAGAAAGTGATGAAGTAGTCTGTTAGACTGCCGATGAACTGGGCGACTAGGAAAAGGAACAGCGTCAAGCAAATGGTGCAGGCGTTGCCTCCAGCCTTGAAGTAGGCGGAATAGACCTTGAAGCCCACAGATCCGGAGCTTCTGTGCTCCTCCACCTGCAACATGGTTGAACCTTTACCACCACTCCAACCTTCCCCAAGGGGCGTTACCAATTGGGGCGTGTCTTCCACGGAAGATGAGCTGTGTATCGACAATGTGCGCTCTTTGGCCTGCGATGGCTGTCTTTCGAACTCGTTTTTCCTCGCGTCGTCTTCAGCGCTTCTCTCCGAGAGCAAATTAGTGAAGTCCAAACCGCTGCTCCGCAGCTCCTTGTAGGTGCCCTCCGCTTTGAGGAAGCCATCGTCCAACAAGACTATGTGATCTACCTAAAGACTAGCTAAAGCTCCCATTGCCTACCAATTGTGTCACTCACATCCTTCAGATACTGCAACTGGTGCGTAACTAAAACTACAGTTTTATCGCGCAGGAACCTGGTGATGCACTGATCAAACAAGGCCTTCCCTACGTGAGTGTCCACAGCAGATAGGGGATCATCCAGCAGATAGATGTCGGCTTTTTTGTATACCTGCAAGGAAGTGTTGGTGGGTTGGGAGGGTAGAGCGATCGCGGTTGCTTACAGCTCTGGCAAGGTTTATTCTGGCTCTTTGGCCGCCGCTCAGCGAAATGCCTCTATCGCCTACAACGGTTTTGTCCCCGTGAGGCAGCAGCTGGAAGTCCCGCTCTAAGGCACATTTCCTTACTACCGTGTTATAACGCGGTTTGTCCATCGGCTGTCCAAACAGGATGTTTTGTCTTACTGAGCCTGAAAATCCAGAGACGTTCAACTGAGACTCTGGACAACTGGACGTTTGCGGCTAAACCGTTTGATTTTTGAAAAGTAGAGCAATTCCGGGAGAGATGAGCCACCTTTTTTGATTCGAGTCTATCTTCACTAAAAATAGCTTTATCGACGCAAAAAAATGTTGTCGAGGGTAATACCACGAGTGCTTTGAAATTACCGATAATTTTTCACCATTGCATGTTTTGTAAGGAAAACATGCCAGAGTGAAGAATTGTATGGTCAATTTTAAAGCTCGAGTGGTATTTAGTGAGATTATTTCTCGAATGAAATACGACATTAAGAAATAAGTAATTAGTATATATCATAATGTTTAAC